TATCGTGGGTTCGGTAACAATTTCTCTGACAGTTTATTACAGCCATATTGAACAATATAATTAGTTGCCTAGAGATAAAAAACTGTAGCAAATAATAGAAGGACATATCCCAAATATCATTGAGGCCATAGATTGATCATATATACCCATTTCACAGTCGCGCCTAGAATATTGTCAACGATACATCAACTACAACCGCAAAGGATTTACAGTATAGTGTTGACTGTTGATAATAAAGAAAATTTTACTTAAGTATACCTGGCAGTATGCATGATGCCAGAGTATTAAAACAATATGAATGCAAGTATTTGCCTATCACTAGTAGCAATTATTTACTCACAATTTTTTAAGTGTTGTACTGCTACGCGAAAAAAGGGAGTGGTACGACTAACTACACCCCATGACAAAATCATAAGTACAGACGAAATTTTACTAGTAAAACATATGAACCCCTTTATTTTCGAAAATCTCCATTGTCCATATGTACTATGTAACCCACAATGATTTTGGTACCGTTTTGAAGCTAATTGATTGAATTTTTTAGAAAAAATAATGACATATTAATATGTTGTAGTTCGATGAAGTAGCGGGTTGTATAAAATCATACGTGTAACATAAGTGCCGTCACTTCATAGAACTACTTCTTCATTACAGTAACTAATTTAAATTCCACACCATTCTTTTCGAAAATACAGTCAATTAGCAAGTCTGGAGAATGTAAAGCCCGTGTGAATGTCGTACAAATATGTTGTGTATGGGTTACATAGTACGTATGGACAATAGAAATTTTCGAAAATAAAGGGGTTTCATGTGTTTTTACTAGTAAAATTTTGTCTTGTACTTATAATTTTGTCGGGTGTATATCGAACTGAATTTATTGTATATAGGTAATAAAGTCATTAAGGAAGAACCAATCGTGATTTTATATTTTTGCGGAAAGCACGTAAAGCAAGCAATTGATAGTGATAGAATAACGAACGGCTTTGTGATACGTCTCTAACAAAAGAAAGATTGTTGAAAAAAAATCGCACCATATACTATATGTATACTAGAATGAAAACATATAGTCACTATTACTATCGATGAGATGAAGTTAAAATTCATCATAACAAATTTTCATTGCTCTGCATTAATTGAATGTAAAAAAAATTCTTTATACTTGACAACGTTTTAGCCTTCATTTGTGACGACGAATTCTTTGTTCTGCTGTCTAGTGTAATTAGTAATCAAGCGGTGAGCTCCGCTTGAATCAAGTTAGGTCAAGCTTTTTTTTTTAGACACAAAAAAATTTTTTTGAACGCCAGTAAAAGCAACCTGCTTTATTGCTATTATTTAATTGTCGTAATTAAAGAGAATCAGAAAACATTGTTCAAATTTTATCGTATGGAGATCATTGTAACGGTGCATAATAAAAGTCATTATATAGAGCCCAGCTTTATCATAACTGACTTGGTTTCCTATTATGCCAACTTTACTTTACCGGGTAATTATTATATCGACAGTAACTGTATATGATTGAAATTTTATTGTTATAGGATTTCTTCCGAGTTCGCTTTGCAGGAGGTTCAGATTATGGTCAACATCTTTGTTATTGCACAGTACGTCAGAAGATGCTTCCACTTTCTTAGTGGATAGCAATATCTGCTACTTTGAACACTTGACTTTTTTAGGTATTTTTGTTCGCTAGCGGAGATTGTGAAATGTTTTATGTATTATTTGGTTCTCGATAAACTTTTTAGTGACCGCGCTGTTGTTATTTTCCAAGGTGGAGTGAAGGTGGATAGGCTGGTTTATTTGGTTCTGAGAAACTGAAACTCCAAGGTTTCGCAATACATTGCATGTTTAATAATAGTTAGAACTCCGATACAATGTATTAGAGGCGTTTTTTTTAGCAGCGGTAAATGATTTCTTCAGGAAGGGGGTGACCGTCATTGAATCGCATGAGCCAGTTGATATGCAGTATATAATTTTCTTAAAAGTGGTAAATGATACATTGACTTTGCTGAGCTACTTCCGCTTGGTATATCCAACAAAGAAATGACGGTTTTGAATATGGTTTTCGGGTAAAGAAAGTTAAGTACTTATTATACCTATGCGATAAGGTAAATTTACCATGGATCGATAAACTAGACATGCAATTGATTGTATTTGTAGTACAATTAATAGTAATAACACATATTTTATTGACGGCATATTGTGGAAATTGATTCATTGTATTTGAACCGATTTAGGCATAGCCACTCTGTGGAAGTGCTGCTTATGGAGTAACTCTGGAGTATGGCTTCGGTGCCGCCTAATCTGGAGTGCTATGAAAATTTCCTTGTTTATACATTGGTGTGACAATTACACTCAAACTCCAGAGTATTACTCCATGGATCTAAAAGTTCCTCGCGATATACTCCATGAATCTGCTCCAGAGCACCACCAGGCAATTTTCTTTATTTGTCTATTATACTGTCATGAACGCATGTCTCTACACCCCTTACTACATTCATTCTTCTTTTCACTTTTAACTCTCTTACATTCCTTATACTCTGTAACAAATGAGTCAGTCTACAAGTACATCTGCTATAGTGTCCAGAGGAACACAAGACAGTATATATGAAACACATGAATTAGCCACAGAAGACAATGACAATTCTTTTGATGAAAGCACAACCATCTAATTATAATGATTTAAGCTCTGTTCCTGATCCTGATCATTACAGCCATTCAAGTCATCCTAGCAACGCATTAAGTGAAAGCAACACTCAGTTATCAGTAAATAATAAGAAGCGTACATCTGTTCTTTGAACAAAAAATAACCATGAAGAGGTTGTGGCCATTATCACCACTGGAACGCAGCTCATTTAAACAATAAGCATAAAAGTATATAAAAGTAATATCATTCTGAAACAACAGTCACCAATGCACCATACACGAGAAAAGATTAATATCTCAGAGTTGACCATTAGCTTGTTGAATTTGTTGTATGCAGCCAGTTGCCTTTCTCTATTGTTGATAATCCGTATTTCAAAACGACAATTTGTACCTTTAATGCACGTTATCGTGTTCCTTGTAGACAGACATTACGTAATGAAGGTTGTTTCAGTTACATGGGGTCATGTGACATATGGATATCCAATCAATCATATCTTGGCGTTACAATAAATAACCGTTTTCTTCTTTGAACCCATGTATCAAGCACAGTACCCGCCCTGCTCGACCCGCGCTCAAAATTAACAACGTTTGCAACACATGAAGAACGAACAACAGCATTAAGAGGCGTATGCCTCTATCAAATTACACTAACATCATCAAACGCATCCTCCTCTTGGGATAGAAAAACACAGCCAGCGTTTTTTTGAAGCACTGTGATGAATAGAACGATACTTGGCTCTTCCTAGAAATTCACTAACATGGTGGTGCAAATTTTCCGAGTCTCAGCAAGATAGCAAGAAATCATTTATCTATACAAGGAACAAGTGTTCCAAGTAAACAGGTAGCTCATACAGTTACCAAAATCTGAAACAATCTTATACCAGATGCAGTACGAGCCACACTATGTCTGAAAAGCTGGATAGTGCAAATGCGTGATCATTGTCTGAACTATGATGATTTATAAACTAAAGATTATGACGCTCTTGGTAACGACAACACGAATGCAAGTCTATTTCGAAACGAATACGACAAGAGCGGTTATAACCTTATACACATTTGAACATTGAATGATGCTAACAAAGCATTAGAAGTTGAACGATATGACATACTTGTACTGTCTGTAAGAGGATATCTTTATATTGAACTCGAAAAGTATGGAGTATGTACCAAACTGCTCCTGAGCAGACTCTACATGGCATGGAGGTTATTTATCTGATTACTGGTGAAACTATTTGCAATTCTTCTGCAACTGTAAATTTTTTACCCACCAAACTGCCTTTACTACGATCCAAGACCATATTGCCAGTTTCATAGCTATTGCATAATCCCGACAATCCTTACTACCCTGATGCGATTGAAAAATATTTCCGCAGACCTCGTGGCAATGACTTTGAACATTTAAAATACGAAGAATATATAATATACGTACTGTAAACACTAATGTTCACGCAGTAAGGGATCTCGACAATCGAATAATAATCAAGAGGAAAAAACCTATATTAACACGCACTCGCTTCCTTAAATTAAACGATGGTGAATTGTTCTTTTACTATCATTGCTACAAACGAAATCTTGGAGATCAGAAGAGGAGCTGTTAGGTCCGTATGCTACTATGGAGACAATTATCTATGTTTCTGATGAAACATTATCAATGCGTGAACAAACTCGTTCATATATAACTCAGAGTTTCAATTATCGGCTTGAAAAAACTACCACACGTTACACCCCACACGTCTACAGCTGGTCTATCCGGAGATCAATATAAAGCCATTGCTATATTGACAAATATGATGGTCTCTCACAATAATCAATGGTCATACTATTTTTTTAACTGGCTCAGCTGGCACGGGTAAATCATTCACCTGTTCCGTAATCATCTTCGTTGTAAGAGGATTAAATATTAATATCTCATATTAACTCCAACTGGTGTTGCAGCTCAAAATATCAATGATCAGAATATATAAACTTGGGCAAAGCCCCTCAATAAGATACCCTACCTAGTTAGCTTAAAAGTATGCATAAATGTAGATGTAAAAATTTCTATTCTGTACGTGATTGAGTATCACCATTCTTACACGCGTTTTATATCAACCATTCTAACACACTTGTAATCTCAACCTGGTAAACTTAAGAGACTGACAGCCAATAATTGCACTGCAATTGTGGAAGTAAATGGTAAAAACATACAAGATGACTATTGGAATCTTACCATAACGTCTAAACAATTTGTGGGGAAAGATGCAAGTGGTCTTAGATGATTTGATTGCAATATTCTATATTCCCATCATAAAGACATCTCAAGACTAGCAGGGAGAAGCTCATCAGCAAGAAAAGGGTCAAAGTTATTAATAACAGATAATATGGATGGTGTTTATGAGCATACATGTGAGAACAATGAATATGAGAGTGAATATGAGAGTGAATATAAGGAAGATGAGAGTGGTGATCAAGCCCAAGAAAATGAAGAAATGGATGCAGATGAGTCAGATATTGAGGAAGTATTGGTTGATGATGAATATAGGGAAGATGAAAGTGAGAGTGCAGCTCAAGAAATAGATACAGGAGAGGATTCAGACATTGAGGAAATATTGGTTGATGAGAGAGAGAAATCCTTTAAAGGCTTTTCAGGGGATTATGGCCTTACTACCCAAACTTTACTTCAATGATGCTTTTTTTGTGGATCTTAAAGCATATGATATGTACATCATTGTGATACAATGTTTTGCAATGCACAATCTACCATCTTCAGAGACAGAATGACAATCAATAGCGATGTGTATCCTCTTACTTTTGTTGATAATAACCTGTGTACTCATTTTCTTCATGTTTGTTCACATTTGTGTACAGCAAAACAACATGACATAACAAAAAGAGTATATATGTTAAATGAATTTTACTATAAAGCAGTTTGAGCCTTTCTTTCTTTCTTTTTTTTTACATTATTGTATAGCCATATTTCGATGAACCTTAGGGTGTTGTAATGAAATATCGACATATCATTAGCGCTATGATAATTTATTCACATAAATTAACACAAACCCCTATTCGGCAATCACCTGATTTCAATTTCACTATTTTATTGGTAACATCCAACGATTGATTTACATCCACGTAGCTGTGCCAAATAAAGGATACACCATTCCAACGATTGATTTACAAAAGTAGTAAGGCGTGTAGATAAATTTAGTTAGCATCATGCAGCGAATAAGCGTTTGTTTTTACATAAATTTAAATTCAATTCAATTCAATTTCAATGATAAATTGAATAAGGGAGGAAGGTTGTTTATATAGGCTTCCGTAAAAAAAATTGTGAGTCACAAAAAAAATTCGTGTTACACCGTCACGCAGTTCTGTTTAATCTGTTCAGAAAGCAGTCATAACTGAAAGTAGACGTTTACTAGAAAGCAGGAATTAAGACAATCAGTTAATGCTAACATTAAAGAGTTTGACAAGCAAGTAACAAATCGCGAAAATAACAACGCTAATATTGCGACTTTATCCGCAACCGTCTTTCAAGTAAATCATCAATGACAAATCAAATGTTATAAGTCTGAAACTTTTCCGCAGTAATCTACCATGTGGCTACCAGCCATATAAGCGTGACGATCAACCAATGCTAACATTGAATAGTTCGACAAGCACATAACAAATCAGTTATCGCTAACATCGACGCTTATCTTTAACCGTCTTTCAAATAAAAACCATTAATGATTAGTCACTCAACACTAACCGTTAAAATCAAAAAATTTTACCACAGTAAATTTACTTCTATAGTCACATGTGGCTATGACAAGCAAATAACAAATCAGTTATCGTAAAAATAACGCTCTTATCTTTAACCGTCTTTCAAATAGAAAACATTAATAAAACATATGGCTACCCAAGACGGATGAAGAAAACAAGCACGCCAAATAAATGAATGAGAGAAAGGGGAATGTGTGTGGGAGAAGTAAGAAAAAGTAAAGAAAAGACATCACACAATCAGCCATTGTGTGACGATCAATCAATACTAACATTGAATAGTTCGACATATTGTGTGACGATCAATCAATACATCCACACTTACCCGTACCTTCTTTCAAGGAAAAATCATCAGATATTGATTGGTCATTCAACACTAGCCGTGGTAAATCTATCCCTAAAACCGCAAGTGGCCTATCAACCATACTCTCCATTGCAAAACATCAATCAAATAAGGCGTTATGTTTACGCGGGCCAATACAGATGTCGATCCTACTCGCCCACATCGCATCGGCAATGGAACAATCGCGTTTGTTCAAAGTCTGATAGTGTACGTACGTATCAATTGTACTCGGAAAAAAAAAAGGTTTCCACTGAAATATGACAAATACATTTTTATATTATCTAACATTATTTAAAAATTAACGATGTAAAAAAAGTAAAAATTATAAATACGAAGATTAACACTGTCGTTCGCAGTCAACCCATCACTACTGATTGTTATTATTCATCAAATATGATTACAAGTCTTTCAGCTATTGTGTATAACGTTTCTGTCACAGATGAAAGGTACAACGAAAAAAAGGTGTTACTATCTCAAGATTATTGACACGGAAGACGGATACCATATACAAGTTTACCGCTTACTTATGCAAAATCAGATAATGACTTAATTGACAATAATTTGTACAAAGTTACAAATCTCACACCAGCCAAAGATAATGTCACAATTACAACAAGCATTCGGTTACATATAGACGAAGAACATGCACCCATCTCAAAACCAATCGCCCATTTAGTCGGTAATACTACAAACTATGCCGATATCACTAAGGCAGGTTATACGTTGCCTATACAAGTGAAGCCTTACTTATCTAAAGACTAGTTCCAACCATACACAATAATGTTAACCCGTCTAACTAACGGTCGTTTAAAAAAATGGCCTCACAAATCAAAAAAAAAATTCTTTGGTACATGTAACTGGAATTTTGTTCTTCCTAGAAAAGCAGCTGTATTGTGAGTTATTAAAATTTCAATTTTTTTCAGCCCAAGCCCGTACGGATACTGATGGAGGGATCACAGTCCCTTGGAAAACCGCTGAAAATAAGACCAATGGCAAATCGGTCATTGAACAAAGAATTGCGCAAGTACGGCAGGAACAAATTAAACTTCCAGTTAAGTTTAAAATAACAGCGAATCTTATTGCACATTATGAATACGTAAGTTTGTAAATTCTCAAATAATTTGTCAAACATCCTAACGGATAAGTAGTCCTAACACCAAATAAATAAATAAATAAAAGCCAACCCCTATCACTTTTTCATCTGAAAAAAGGTCAGATGGCTTGTGTACAAGTCGCCAAAATGAAAGAGTTAGTGAATAAACCAATTTTACCAATTTTGAAAACTCAGACCGACTTCATATCACTATTGTGACTCCTACCAATAAAAGCGTTCATGCTCTTGCATGCTGTGCGTGTGTTACTATTGTATTGTGACACAGTCAATATCAGGTGAAAGAACTTCAAGTCAACAGTAATAACAACGATGACATCAATTGCCTCCGACAAGGAATGGTTAGAAAAGAGTCTTGAAAATGAATACATTCGATTCTATCCTTATGATGGTTTAATCGATAAAGACTGCATAGGCCATGGTGCATTTGGTGTAGTTTTCAAAGCAAAAGTAGCAACATCGGGCATCACTGTTGCTTACAAAATGATCAAATATTTGGACGAAGGCGAGTTCTTTAAACGCTTTGTAAACGAGGTTTGTAATCATGCATACGGAATGCTGCTAGAGTTTACGTAATTTTGGTTCTTATATTCATTCGTTTCATATTCTAGCTCAAGATCAATCGTAAAGTGGATGACCATCCCAACATAATTCGATTCCTTGGCATTAGCAAAGGTAATAGTGAAAAGATTCCATGTATTAGAAAATGAGCATGGATGTAATGCTTTTTCGACCTTTTAATAGATATCAAGGGAAGATACTTGATGGTCTTCGATTATGCCGACAATGGTTCATTACGGGAATACTTGTCGGTGCCAGCTATCAAACTAGATTGGCCTGCCAACTGTCAACTGGGTTTGGATATCGTTAACGGGCTGAGATATATTCATACAGTAGGAATCTTGCATAAAGATTTAGTAAGTGTATTACCCATTATATTATTTTATTTAACATAGATTGTATATTGACATATTGCTTTCAAATGTTATTACAAGTCTTCAAACAATGTATTGATTCATGGAAAAACAGCCAAGATCGCGGATTTTGGGATATCTGAAAAAATATTGCAACAAAAGGCTTACTCAGATCATGGAGGAACTTATGCATACCTTGATCCTAAATGCTTTAATGATAATTACAGTAAACGTGATGAAAAATCTGATATTTTTAGCTTTGGGATCATTCTATGGGAAATATCCAGCAGAGAATATCCATGCAGTGAATTCAACAGCAACAATGACATTCAACTTTACAGGTTGAAGGGTGGTCGCCATGATGTAGTTCCAGGCACCCCAGAAGAGTATAAAAATTTATACACAGAATGCTGGAATGATGATTCAGAAAAAAGACCAAACAGTGAACAATGTTACAATAGATTAAAAAATATAATGGAAGAATTGAACCAGCTACCAGAATGTGATTCTAGCCAAAATAACAAGATTCAAGATCACTCTCTTTCTAATGAGTTGTTAATATTATACAACAAGTTACTATTTAAGGGGAAATCAATGGAACAAATAGCTGATTATATAAAAAATTGGCTGACACAAAATAATGATAAACAAGAAAATTCATTGGCTACATTAAAGGCTCATATTGGTTGTGGACAATGTTTTCAGTTGATTGGATTCTTCTATGCATATGGAATAGAAACAGATGCAGATTTTGGACAGGCTGTTCAATGGTATCAAGAATCAGCAAAGGCAGGCAATGCTACAGCACAACATTGCCTTGGTGTTTGTTATGAGCATGGGACAGGAGTGGAAAAGAATATTCAAAAAGCAGTTGAGTTGTATCAGAAAGCAGCTGAACAAGGATATGCTGGGGCACAGTATAATCTTGACAAGAATGGTGCAGGAGTGGAAAATAATGCAGCTGAACAAGGATATTCTGGGGCACAATATAATAACAATCTTGGTAATAGCTATTACAATGGGGCGGGAGTGGAAAAGAATATCCAAAAAGCAGTTGAGCTGTATCAGAAAGCAGCTGAACAAGGATATGCTACAGCACAATGCTATCTTGGTGCTTGTTATGAGCATGGGACAGGAGTGGAAAAGAATATTCAAAAAGCAGTTGAGCTGTATCAGAAAGCAGCTGAACAAGGAGATGCAGCAGCACAATGTAACCTTGGTTTTTTTTATGAGCATGGAACAGGAGTGAAGAAGAATATACTGAAGGCAGTTGAGTATCAGAAAGCAGTTGATCAAGGGAATACCTGGGCACAATGTAACCTTGGTGTTTGCTATAACTATGGGACAGGAGTGGAAAATAATATTCAGAAAGCAGCTTGGCTGTATCAGAAAGCAGCTGAACTGTATCAGAAAGCAGCTGAACTCACAAGTAAACAAAAATATTGTCTCATAAAAGAACACAATGGGATTAGTTTATGTCTGACATGTATGAAGCAATTAGAACCTAAGATAGATCTATTCTGTTTCAAATGTAAATCCCCAACACCTCCTGATTGG